ACTCTCTTCCTGAAATACTCCTTCTTTTCCTCAGTTTATCCCTCTGAACTTACTTATTCCCACTAGTATAAACACGTTCTCCTGGTTTCTTCCTCTACCTCCTGCTATATTTTCTCCTTTTGAAGAAAAACTTTTCAAAATTGTTGACTATAGTTACTATCTCCATTTCCTCTTCATTCCTTTCTTCTCTCAGTCCATTCCAATTGGCCTTTGCCCCTATTCCTCTGAAACTGTGCTACATTAAGTCAACAACCACCTACATTCTATCACATTTATCTTACTGGATTTCTCATGAGCATTTGGCACAAGTGACCACTTCCCTTTATAGAAACAATTTCCTCTCTTGATTTCCTCTTTCCTCACTGGCCACTTCTTTCTTGATCATCCTTTTCTGCTCAATCTTCAGTTGGTTTCTGAAATACATCATTTCCATATTAGGTCCTCAGCTGGGAATTCCCTTTCCCTCAGTCTTTCTATAATAATATCCTACATGTCATTCAAGTCTCACCTTAAATAGCTCCCCCTTGGAAGGGCATTTTCTAGCAACTCAATTTTAGTTACCCAGAAAAAGTTTTTTATCTTCACTATAACTTTTAATATATTTATAGGTATTTGTTTATTGTCTGTCTCACCCCATTAAAATACGAATTCCATGAAAGTAGGGAACACATCTGTCTTGTTCAAGGTTGTAAGCAATTAAAAATATTTCTTGTGTGAATTAGAAAATTAACATTGATTTGCACAGTGACAACTATTATTTTTTCAGTAACAATTGTACCTTCATTCCATTTCCATGTTTATCGAAACATTTGATGCCATAGAGATGAAAATTTCTCCCCCTATCCACAAAATAAGATTGGTTTTCTTTTAAACTCAAAGAAGGCCTAGAATTCAATAAAGTTTTAGAAACCACTGCATTTACTTTAATTTCTGTTTTCAAATACTAACCTAGGAAGTTTAATACTAATCCCTTATAGGTCAAGACCCACTCTTAAAAAAAGAAAAGCTCAGGGGTGCTTGGGTGGCTCAGTGGGTTAAGCATCCAACTTCGGCTCAGGTCATGATCTCACCGTTCGTGGGTTTTTGAGCCCCACATCGGGCTCTGTTCTGACAGCTCGGAGCCTGGAGCCTGCTTCAGATCCTATGTCTCTCTCTCTCTGTGCTCCTCCCCTGCTCATACTCTCTCTCTTTCTCTTGAAAATAAATAAATGTTGAAAAAAAAAAGAAAGAAAAGCTCCTTCAAAGGCAGTGACAGTAGTTAATTTTAAAAAGTGGGGGGAGGGCTTCTAATCAAATCATAGACAAATATACCACAAGGATGGTTTTGTGTACCTCAGATTAAAATTTAAATAGTAAGATTTAAACTTAAATATATTAAAATTTATTTAAATACAATCCTAGATTATTTTCTATGGCATTGTTTCATACAAAGACATCATTATTTGTTTTCTTTCAATAAGTTATGATAATATTTTATTTACAATTTTGATTATTTTTTAAATTCTGGATACTGAAGTGGAAAATAAATTCTGGAAACAGGAATCTCAAAAACTTGGGTAACATTTTACTTTAGTAATTTTTCAACTAAAGAGTAAATCAACTAAAAAAAAATCTGTCAATCATTAGTTACATAATTCATGAAATTTAGAGCACTTTTTTTATGGTAACCTAAAGACTCATGTGCCTTTGTAAAAATGAGATTCTATAATTTGTTTCATAAATATAACAATACTAGGTGCTGCCAAATATCTCCCCTCAGTATGTAAAACAAATGTACATTTCTCAACCTCTTTTGATTTTCATGCCGAAAAAATTGTTGGCTGTGAGATTATTTGTTTATACTATAACAGGGCAAATGAAATTTTACCCCAAAAACAAATACTGGGCTTTCCTGGCCAATATGAATGATGACTCACTCTGGATTCATAAAAAGGCAAATCCCAGGGAAAAGAAAAACACATTTTTAAGGAACTTTTTCTCATAACCTTTCAGTTGTGCAAAGTATTACTATCCAATGTTACTTGTCTAGGGACGTTAATCCACACATAAGGCATTACTCCAGCGAGGCAATAATATGAATATAATCTTTTCAAGTAAGATATTTTAAGAGTCCACAACTGCAAACTTGCTATCTGAAATTTGTCATTTTTGTAAAAGAAATAAATCATTGGGGGGGGGGCAAATGATTGAAACAAAGAAATAGAAGTAGGCTATTTACAGGGTTGTGTTATCACAAATCTTTTATTTTAGAGAATTTTTGGGGGGGTTTTATCTTACCAGACAAACTATTAAAATATGTTTTCCAATTCAAAACTAACCTTCAACCTTCAGGTGGTGATCAAATATGACAGTAAATGGGAGTAAACAGGTGTGACTTTTGTTAAATAAATTATCCTCAGTACTAAAATTTTTCTTATATTTTACTGAAGACTATGAAAAAGAAATTAAATGAAATTGGCCTTTTTAAGCATTGGTTTTTTTCTTTCTCTAATACTTTTGACAAAAATTTTAAGTTTTCCTATTCCTAGAGAATTCTTTGCAAAACATGTTGTCTTTCATATTATTGGCCAATGTTTATTTTTCTAGTTTTATGCCACTTATGGGAAACAGATGAAACACTACATTTATTTGAATTATTCTTGGATACTGAGCTACCATACTTTTATACCCAGGCTAAATACTGTTCTGATGTAGCAAATGTTAGACCCTACACTCTCCCTTTAGAGTCATATCTGTCATTTGATTTTTTTTTCCAAGTCATTAGTCCTCCATTTCATTCTTTTTATCATGGCCTTAAATATCCAGTGAGACCCTAGGATTCCTATGTTTGCTCATCTGAACGCTAATAACCCACTCCTTTGAAGCTGCTTCGACTACCGCTGCACAGCAAGGAGGTCATAATAAGGGTGACGGAGATAATAGCAGTCAGTGTCATCCCCACCATCCCCACTGCTCACGGTCACCATTTCTTCAGACCTCGGCATAGTCTCCATTCCTTATAATGGCTAATGAACTAACATTTCCAAGAAACAAAGTCTGCTTTTGCTCAGTGATCTCAAAGCGCTTTGTAAATGTGACTTTTAAATTGATATGCTAATCACAGGAGCTAAGTAGAAAAAGATGCAGAGTAAGAGGTTAAGGTTAAGCATGTCATGGGGCCCCTGGGTGGCTCAGTTGGTTGGGTGACTGACTTCGGCTAGGGTCATGATCTCACAGATCGTGGGTTTGACCCCCGCATCAGGCTCTGTGCTGAGAGCTCAGAGCCTGGAGCCTGCTTCTGATTCTCTGTCTCCCCCTCTCTCTACCCCTCCCCTGCTCATGCTCATGCCCTGTCTCTCTGTCTCTCAATAATAAATAAACGTTAAAAACTTTTTTTTTTAAAAAGGTTAAGCATGTCATATACTCTTGTTTAATTTGAGTAATTGATGGAGCATGAACCAAGACCCTAAAGAGCAGTGAAGGATATAGAAAGGAAGTCTACAGACACTTATGTATGTACAAAGTCTGGTTCCCCTGAAGAGAAGGATCTGCAGGAAGAATATCAAAGAGGAAGAATATCAGAGTGAATATTTTCCATTGTTCTTGAAAATGATACCAGTAAAAGAGGGGTTGGCAACAACACCCTTGTACTTGGGAGGTTTACAGAAGGCCTCTGCAGAGCTATTGGGGTTCCAGGCAATTCTGATGATGGTGTCGTGAAATTTGAAGGGCTGAAAAAGATGCCAGACTGAAGAAAAACAAAAACAAAATGCCACCTCTACTACTGTAGACTAATCACACCCAAAATTCCTCCCTAGAAATGGAGTACTTTCCTTTGTGAAGTCTTTTGAATTTGTGGTGGAGGCTCCCCAAATACGAGTTAGTGAAACCATCTGTGGTAGCATCCTGTGGAAACCTTATTTCCAAATGATGCTTGGGCTTTATTTTCGAGAGTTCTTAAACTGGGCATTAGGAATCTATGTTTTTAAAAGACTTCCCAGATGTGTGTGATGTACAGCCGGGTTAGGGAACCATGTTCTTCTCTCTCATTGAAATGCCAACACACTGGGGGCACCTGGGTGGCTCAGTGGGTTAAGCATCCAACTTTGACTCAGGTCATGATCTCTCAGTCTATGAGTTTGAGCCCCACACCGAGCTCTGGCAACTCAGAGCCTGGAGCCTGCTTCAGATTCCGTGTCTCCTCTCTCTCTGTTCCTCCCCTACTCTCTCTCTCTCTCAGGAATAAATAAACATTAAAGGTTAAATAATTTTTTTAAAAAAGCCAACACACCTATGATTAAGGGATTCATAATTTAAGTCATTAATTGCTTATACTTTAGAAAAATTAGTTGACATGTGAGAGTGAGATGCTCATGTGGGGAAGATTCCAGAAGACAGCAGACAGAGAGAGAGAGAGAGACTTAAGAGCTAAGCAATGGCCCCAATACCAAAATCAGTGATTTAAAAACTTTGCCTGGTCCTAATAAGTCCATCAATTTAATGTAATGATATTTTGCTGAATGCTTAGAAAACTCATCGTGTGTCAAGTATTGTTTTAAATGCTTTACAAATATTAATCGATTTAACCTTCATAACAACCCTATGATGTAGGTACTAGCATTTCCCCCACTTTATAGATGAGGAAATTAAAGCTAAGGTGAAGATATGAAGTTATTTACCTGAGGTCAGGGAGCTATTAAGTCACTGAGCTCCTCAGTTCCTGCTCCTAGCTACTGGGTACTGCTACCTTTCAGATAGTGGGCTAGGCACTGAGAAATCAAAAATAAATGGCCCTTAGGAAATTTTAGATTTGTGGAAAACAACTGGGAAATCAGGTTCCTGCCATCTGTGCTTCAGGAAGAGAGAGCATGAACTGGGTCTTCTCCAAGCAAATCTTGGTTGACCTTCCATCCTGCTCATTGCCGCTCACCATCTTTGCAAGAACCCATCACTTAGCTTGCCCTTCATCTCCTCTGTGTTTTTGTCAGAAAAATGGTAAGAAAATTTGAAGATATACTCAATTTAGAGTGGAGTCAGTTTTATTTCATTTCGAAATGGGATGTAACTGGGTATTGGTCGTGATGATTCTAGAGATTCTCACTTTGGGAAAAGATTTGCCACAGGAAAAGGATGAACTCTCGGGGGAATCAACGCAGTCATCAATTTCATTCTTACAGATCCATCCTTGGTTTGCAAATGAGACGAGAGATGCAGCTGCAGGTGAGACAGTACTCATTTCAAAGAAGTACTCGGCAGACCCCAGCTTTAAAGTGTCCACAGCTGTTTGAAGCTGTGCTTTGCATATTTACCTCTTTGTTTGGTCCGCTACTCCTTCTGCTCAGAGATTCAATGAGACAACTTACAAAAAGAATTTATAAGAAAATAAGTTGTTTTATAATTTTCTAATAACAGCTTTCAATCTGTGGGAAGAATTTTTTTTTTTAGTTCCTCATCTTTTCTTAACTAGACTCTATTCACATAAATAATTCCGTGGATTCTATTTAATTATTATCCTGATAAATGATATGACCTGTTAACTGGGAAGAATGCCAGATTTTAAAAAATTAGTTTAATGCTTTTCAATTACTTTACACTATTGTTACAGCATAACACCTTACTAGCTTAAAGTAGAGAGGAAAGGGACGCCTGGGTGGCTCAGTCGGTTAAGCGTCCAACTTCAGCTCAGGTTATGATCTCATTCGTGGCTTATGAGTTTGAGCCCCGCATTGGGCTCTGTGCTGACAGCTCAGAGCCTGGAGCCTGCTTTGGATTCTGTGTCCCACCCCCCACCCTCTCTCTTCCACTCCCCGGCTCATGCTCTATCTCTCTCTCTCAAAAATAAATAAATGTTAAAAAAATTTAAAGTAGGGAGGAAAAAAGATCTCAACTTGTTACTAATGTCCAAAGCTGTTTACAGTAGTTTATAGTACTGAATTAATGTTACTCATCTAGAATTTTGCATTTATGAACTCCAGAGTTTTGTCCTATTCTGGCCATTAAAATTGTAGTATCTAATGATTACTTTAATATTTCTTAATTATTCAATTTTTAATAATTGGAGCATATTTACTATATCTCCATAAGTGAAAAGAAAACTGTTTCTGCTTTTCAGTGTTCTTGAACTATTGCTATCTCCGATAGTTATGTTAATGAAAAGGATTATTAAAGTGTCTAAAATATACCAAAAGGACTTACATGTCACTTTGCTAACATTATGGAAAAGAAATTATTTTTAGTCTCATTTTTCAGTTAAGAAGCATGATGCGTAAGTGGATAACCGGCCCATAGTGACATAGCCTGTGGTTTTCAAAGCCAGGATTCTTAACCAGGCATTCTGATTCCTGACATCACCTACTTAACCACTGTTACATCTCCCTCTTTAGAGGAAGAGCATGTATGGGGAGGCCTTAGATGTACTCAGTGGAGTTCTTGACACGGGTACATTTGGCTTAGAGATGAAACGTGTTTTTCATGGGCAATCGAATTGTCTCTGTGGAAAATACTATATAGCTTCTTTAGTATTTGCCAATAATCTATTTGATTATTCTCCTTTAGGTATAGGCCACTAGTAGGATGGTACATTTTGACGTTTTGGTTTTGGTCACTGTGATTTGTAAAACTTGAGGCAATAGTCGAACTTTTCCCATTTCTATGTAGTTTATGGAATGGACTCTGTGTGTCATTTAAAAGTACTTTAGGGGCGCCTGGGTGGCGCAGTCGGTTAAGCGTCTGACTTCAGCCAGGTCACGATCTCACGGTCCGTGAGTTCGAGCCCCGCGTCAGGCTCTGGGCTGATGGCTCAGAGCCTGGAGCCTGTTTCCGATTCTGTGTCTCCCTCTCTCTCTGCCCCTCCCCCGTTCATGCTCTGTCTCTCTCTGTCCCAAAAATAAATAAAAAACGTTGAAAAAAAAATTAAAAAAATAAATAAATAAAAGTACTTTAGCTGATATGATAGAAGGACGATGGTTCTTGGAGTCAATAGGTTTGATTTTTAGTACTGATTCTTCCAACTACCAGTTTTAACATGCTGGACAATTTCTCTCTCTCTCTCTTTCTCTTTCTTTCTTTCTCTTTCTCTCTCTCCCTCCCTCCTTCCCCCTTCCCCCTTGCTTGGAAGAGAAATAAAGATTTCTTGTTCATGGGGATCTTGGGGAAGACCAAATAAGATGACATATAAAGCACTTAGCAAATGTGTCACTTACAAAGCGGGTACTGAATACATGTTACTTCTCTCTCCTTCCCTGCCGGCCCTGCTGCTATATTTTAAACTCTGGTTACTGACAGTTTTATAAAACTGCTATGAAATCTGAGGGGAACTGAAACTGTCATTCTAATTCATGGGAGTTGGTTATCTTCACAATGGTCTCAGGCCCCGAATATGTGGCACAAATGTTTTTGTGAGCCCCACTAAAATAGAAGGAAATTTGTTTGGATATTATTTTACTAATCATTCGTACCCATCTTGGCTGTGGTGCACTATCTTATTTCTATTACTCAAAGCTGTATTTAAAGCAAACTTCTCCCCAATTGCTGATGATAAAATGTAGCTTCGGAGCTGGCTCAACCAAATCTTTGTACATTACTTCATGCTTCATTCATTTATGTTTCTAATCTCAATGCCATTTTCAGTATGTTTAACTGTAAGCTGTGTATAACATTAAAATGCCTCTATCACCTTATTTAAAAATATATATAAAGAGTGTCATTCATCTTATAAAAATGTAGTTAAGTTGATATTAATCTGCAATGATGTCTAATTATTCTCATTTTAAAGATGCAGAATCTGATGCACAGAGTGACTGATTCTCTTGAAGTCATTTGGAATCTATCAGTAATATCTGTGAGATGTTTTTGAGTTTCCCAAATAAATAATATCACTATATTCTTTATTATAGAAAAAATATGTTATATAAATAGAAATATATTTTGCTCAACTTTCACATGTGCTTACATTTAAAGAAATGAAGTGGGGCACCTGGGTGGCTCAGTCAGTTAAGCGCCAGACTTCAGCTCAGGTCATGATCTCATGGTTTGTGGGTTCGAGCCCCACGTTGGGCTCTGGGCTGACAGCTCAGAGCCTGGAGCCTGCTTCAGATTCTGGGTCCCCCTCTCTCTCTGCCCCTCCCCTGCTTGCACTGTCTCTTTCTCTCTCTCTCAAAAATAAATAAACATTACAAAAAATTTAAATAAAAAAGTAAAGAAATGAAGCAAAGTTTTGTATATTTAAAATTAATCTGACACCATCCACTTAATTATATGACCAGAAGTAGAAGCATTTTAAAACATGAATCCCTTTAATTTTCTTTCTCTTGCAGATATACCAATAATGATTAATAATAATAATATAATCTGTCACTTATTGAGATAACTGTATCAGTCTGTCTATCTCTTTGGTTCCTGGATCTGTGCTAGGCAGTTGTAGATGGTTCTTATTTAATTTAATGTTTGCCATATAACATACCTTTCATTATCTACTTTGGGTAATTGTATCTCACTTTTTTTGGGGGGGGGGGAATCCCATCCTGCCGTCCCTCCTACTTCTGGGTGGAGTTGACCCTCCCAACTCCAAGAGTAGAGTAGAGAGCCCAGGTCCAGCCCAAAATATTCCCCAGACCCTGCTGGTGGGTTCATCGATCGATACTGTCAGTCTGAAATTTGATTTCACTTAAATTATAAGCTAATAAGTTAGTCTATTGCAGTTTTATAGATGCTAGCAGAAGACACAAGATTTCTGGGTCAGAGACAAAGAATATTATTACTTTATGGTGCAGCCAGGAAGCAAAAAAAAAGTTCCTTTTGCTTCTGATTCTCATGGAGCTGACGCCATATGAGCCCATCTGGATGATGTGCAGCAGTGGGTTTATGTTACAGCTAAGGAACACTGATCTTGGGGAAACCACCACTTCATAGCAAGCAGTAATCAAGTCTTCCCTGTTCTTAAAAGAGACATTACTTGAATGCTCGAGATTCTTGCTACAAGCACGACCTTGAGAAATAACCCAGGAAAAAAGTGGTCAGAGCCTTTATTCTTGGCATACGCAGCAAGATACATGGAGCGTGAGAGACACACGGAGTGGTGCCTCCCGACAGATGAACTATGTCAAACAGTCCATTTAGAACCCCTTTTTTTCTCTTTCCTTTGAAATTTGAACCTGGAAAAATATCACGTTTCAGTTTCTGCTGCTGTCTTGTAATTACAAAGGAATAGCTTATCTGAGAATGGAGTCAACGTGCCAAAGTCGGAGATGAGAAAAGAAAATGAAAAGAAAAAAAAAGGTCCACTGAGTTATGGATCAAGTAAACCATGAAGCCATATCTTCCTCAAGAATTTTCAGTTATGTGAGATAATTAGGTTTTCATTCATTCACAACTAAAAGGTTTCTGATGGATTTGGCATTTGACATGTTGGGTCACCACAACACCCCTAAAAAGAAGGTATTATTATCTGATGTTATAAATGAGCAAAACACACACCATGAAGATTAACTCACACAGTATCACACAATTAATAATTAGCGCCACATTTGCTGATGGCAAACTCCATGCTTTTAACCCTTAAACCTTTAGTTCTCAAACTTTAGTGTACTTTAGAAACACTGAGATTCACCCCAGATCTAATGAATCAAAATCTCTACAGTGGAGATAGAGCAAAGAGAATACGCACATTTAAGTTCTTGGGTAATTCTGATGCAAGGCTCATGGACCACTTGTTAAGAAATATTTCCTTTAGACAAAGGTATGACTTCAAGGATACTGCTGCCTGATGTTCTGACACTATGTCCTTATTAAAAAGCTTTGCTTCTGGAAGATAACACTTGAAGTCTTGTCAGTGATATAAACTACAAATCAAAGGAAATCTTTTTCTGAGAAGAGCTCTGTTGGGAGTAGAAAAAGTCAGAAAAAAAGGCTTCTGAGCAGGGGCGACGAGGGTGGGAGATTGGGCCCTTAAAAGAGAAGGGGAGACAGAGTCATGAAATTCTATTTCACCCATTATTACCTAAGAAATTCCTTTTTAAGGTGTGTGTGTACGTGTGTGTGTGTGTGTGTGTGTGTGTGTGTGTGTGTGTGTTTTAGGTTCAGATCCTACATAGAGTTTATATATGTATATATGTATAGAGAGACTAAGGAGTCTCTTGAAAAAAAAAAACCATACAGACATCTGCTTGATTTGCTAGTTACAGTGGCTCATTGGACATGAAGGAGAATGTTTAATTATTGACTTTGAATAGACATTTTGCCACTGCTAATAATATTAGCTAGATTAATGAATTGTTCGAGGGTTATAGAGACAGAAAGACACCACGAGAGCTATTGTTCATCAATATTTAGATAGCCTTTCCCAGAATAGTCATGTAAACCACATGTGTCATTGTAAAATATTTTCCTGCTTGCTTATCATGTCTTGGATTTTTTTCTCTCTCCCTATTTAAATGTAAATGGAGTATTAGTTGTCTTTTGATACAGGTATTATTATGGTGAGAGTCAGAACTGTTTTTGTAGGCGATATTCTACAGTGTTTCCACAACGTACCGTCTTACAAGTGGGCTCTGATACATAGTAAGTCTTTTTTAATTTTAATTTTTAAAACTTTTAAAAATGTTTATTTTTGAGAGAGAGAGAGAGAGAGAGCACAAGCGGGGCAGGGGCAGAGAGAGGAGGATAGATGATCCAAAGTGGGCTCCGTGCTAACAGCAGTAAGCCCAATGTGGGGCTCAATCTAAAACACTGCAAGATCATAACCTGAGCAGAAGTCAGATGCTCAACGGACTGAGCCACCCAGGTGCCCCTTTAATTCTTAAAGCTGGAAGTGCTTGAGATCTTCATCCCTAGCCGGGCTGGGCACGAAGGCAATGAGGAGGGCGCAGAGTTGAACTCTATTGCAAGGATAGTAGGATAGCTGATATCATTCCCCACCTCTCATTTTTTAAAAAATACTTCTTGTCCTTTCAAAATTGAATACTTGAATCAATCTGGCTTAAAGAGATATTTATTTTTAGAGTCTTAAGCTCACTATTGTTCCAAAGAATTTTAAGACCATTAGTCTCAGTCTTAAATGTGTGTAATATTTCCAACTATTGACTAATAAGATTGAGTTTAATATGTGTTTTGAAAATAATTAGGTTCATTATCAAAGTGAACTTTACCAAAGGGTTTTTATTTTAAATTATATCTCCCTTATAGATGATGTTCCTCTCCACCCAACAGTTTGACAAGCAGGTATTTTGATAATTTTAGTTTGCACTGGTTGCTTGTGTTCACAGGCCTCCTCAACTTTATCACCATGGTAGAGACACATTCCTTTCCTTTATAGTTGAAATCAGAAACTGAACTATATCTGATCATCCTTAATACAAATCCTTTCATGAGTACACTCTCTATAATGCTTGTCTCTAGATATTTAACGAAATAGTAAATGATCACTTACAACATTATCTCTGTGCCTGCCTTCCTCCAGGGAAACCATGTAACAATGTTGAACCTCTCTGCCTTCTTTTAAAACCAGCAAACTGAAATGTGCTGAATGAAAAGCAAGATTTCCATCTGAATATATGGAAGAGGTTCTCATTAGCTCAAAGGTGTATGGTGCAATGAGATAGCAGCATAGACTGCAATGCTTTATTTTTTTAAGCACACACCACTGTAACAATTATGTGAACATCTATCAATCATTTCAGTTTTGTGCCTAACCTCTCTGATGTGGTACATTGGAATATAGAAGGTAATGAGCAAGATTTACAAAGCTACCCCACTACCAAGGTGGTTTTTTTTAGAAGATTGATATAAATATGATATCTCTAATATTGGTTTAAAATAAGTTGGAAATATATCACAGATTTTAAAAATGTATCTTCCATAATATTTTCCAGAAGAATGCCTTACCTTTCTTCTCAGGCCAAAATCATGCATACAGCATTTGGTGCAGTGATCAGGGTTAAATTACATGAGGCATGAAAGATTTTCAACATGATCCTGTTTTGGGATATTGTGTGAGAAAATGGCCTCTAGGATACAAAGGTCACTAGTAAGAGAGATAATAATTCATAGACATTAGAATGATACATCTTAACATATTTCATGAATCATGTTCAGGGGCCTGGGTGGCTCAGTCTGTCAAGCATCTGACCCTTGCTTTCAGCTCAGGTCATGATCTCACAGTTAGTGAGTTCAAGCCCTATGTCGGGCTCTATGCTGCCAGTAGGGAGCCTGCTTGGGATTCTTTCTCCCTCTGTCTTCCCCTCCCCATGTGTGTGTCTCTGTCTCTCTCAAAATAAGTGAACTTAAAAAATAATAATAAAATAAATCATGTTTCATTGCAGTCTCTCATTCTGAGATGAGATTCATCACCTTAGGATAGGAGAGAGCTTGTCTTCAACTTGTAGGCAATGCAAAAAACCTTGGAAATCAGGTGAGGCAATGGGGGTAGTGGGTTGCACAGAGATTCACCAAATCCTTTCATCCTGCTTTAGCACATCAAGGGCTAAGACTAAAGGACTCCTCTCCTTTGTACTTTCTCTAGTGGAAAGGAGATGTGGGGTGAGTGGAACGGTTTTGTTGTTTTTTTTTTTAATTTTTTTTCAACGTTTATTTATTTTAGGGACAGAGAGAGACAGAGCATGAATGGGGGAGGGGCAGAGAGAGAGGGAGACACAGAATCGTTAACAGGCTCCAGGCTCTGAGCCATCAGCCCAGAGCCCGACGCGGGGCTCGAACCCACGGACCGCGAGATCGTGACCTGGCTGAAGTCGGACGCTTAACCGACTGCGCCACCCAGGCGCCCCGAGTGGAACGGTTTTGAGAAGTGAGGTTGACAAAGGTAAGGAGAGATGCAAAAGGCCCAACACAGAGCCACATAAAGAAGATCCAAGACAGGAGATCCAGAGGGTCACCAGTCCACAGCCACTCTAGATTCCCCTAGCCGCTGAGCCAAGAGGCTCACCATGGGGCTGCCTATGGCAGGGCGAGATCATTCCTTCTGTGCAGAGTCAAGGGTAGCCTCCCAGACCAGTGGCTGGAGGAACACTGTGGAAGATTCTGAAAAGGTCACAGCCCACAGGAGCTGAGTGTGGCCCTCACCAAGCTGAGAGGTTGGATCATAAACTCCAGAAGCTGCAGATTTCAACAAACTATAGAAGGAATCATCTTGAGAGACAAACCACCTGTTTACAGAGGGCAAAGGGCAGAGAGGGCTCAGTTCAATTGGATGTTTGAATATTTATTTAATTTTTTTCTCCCAGCTAGCCAGTTGGAAGGGGCTTGGAATAATGTTCAGGTTAGTTAAAACCAAAATAACAAAATGTTTTCTCTGCATATCTAAGTTATGAGTTCAGTTTGCCACCTTGCGATAGCTTTTAAAAATAGTTTAAAAAGACAAAAGTCCAGCTATCCTTAGTCATACTGAGATCATGTATAGAACTATAAAGCCTAGAGTTAACAGCATTTGTAGCTTTTTGAACCCCCCCCCCCCCCCACCACCACTCTCGCTCTGGAATCACTGCTATTGCCTGCTTGGGAAATATTGCTTTCCACTTATTTTGCTATGAAAAGAAAACTGCCCTGAAAAATAAAGTCTTTTACAAATTTTCTCTAGTATCTTCTTAAATTCTTCTAGGGATAGAAAGGCCATCGTTGAACAAAGCATAAAATATGACTCTCTTCTCATATGTTGAAATCTGATTTTTCTATTTCTTTTACCCATTTCCTCTGGAACACCTTTAGGCAATCTCTCTCTCTCTCTCTCTCTCTCTCTCTCTCTCTCTCTCTCTCTCACCCTCTTTCCCATTTTTTCCTATTATCTTTCCCTGGGATGTAAGTCAGCAATTACTTAGCTCCCACAACAAAGTCTGAGGTCATAAGTGAGGGAAGACAGTAATTTAATCTGGCAAAGACTGAGGTATCATCTAGTTAGTTTGGTGACAAGAACAGACCATAAAGACTACAGGCCACTACATTGCTTCCTATTCATACTGACTCAAAGTTGCTTTTCCTCTTTCTCTGAACCAACAGACTTTTCTTTTTTAAAAAAAATAATAAATCAAAGTATAACCCCAATCTTGGTAAAATTCCCAAAGTAATCTGAAACCTTTCTTCTTAAAATCTAAGTGAAACATAAAGCGACCAAGCACATGTGATGTGTTTTTGAGTAATCCCTTGAAACAGTAAAATTCAAATGGCAAAGTCAGACAACTTGCAACAACATAATATATTTGTTTATTTCATTAATATTACGATGGTAACATGTTAAGAGCACTGGATTTGTATCCTGTAAAGAGGATAATGATCAAGATTTAGCTTTGTAAATTTCATTGTTCTTAACCATTAAAAATCTATTTTCCAAAGTAGTAATAATATATATTATTAAGGGACAGAGCTAAACTTTATGATGTATAACCAAAAGCATATGTTTGTTCATTAGTTTAAACAAAACATTAGAGACTTTTTAACTCTTGGTTACTGCTTTCAGGAAAGCACAATGTTCTTGAAGCAAATATTACACAAAACATCTTTTTCCATAGTGATTTCAACCGTTGTGTATCATGTCCATGACAGCCCCAGATTTAGTATCACCCAATGGTTGTAATACACTCTGGCTTTCTTAAACAATCAGCCAACAAACATGTATTTAGTGCCTACTATGTACATGCCAGCATACTAAAGCAATACAGGAAATACAAAGAAGTAAAATTATTGGTCCTTGCCCTGCTCAGGCTTCCAATGTAGTTGGTAAGATTAAACACAGACACAAATTACTCTACTTTCAGTGTGTGAAAAAGAAGGGACAATGTTAACCAGAACGTATATTAGAATCACCTATGCTGGAACTTAGAAGAAGCAGGGGCCTAACCAGGGACATTCTCAACACTGATTAAAATCTGTCTGAATCAGATTTCTCAGCTCCAGACCTGAGTGCTGCTTGAACGCCCCGCATCTGAAAGTGCTCCCGCAGCCTTGCATCTCTCACTGCTAGTGGCTGTATTTGGCAATTGTCTCGAGGACTCATGACAATGGAGCAAGATAAATATTCATAATATGTAAAAAGCAGAAATAAAGTCATACATACGGTGATGTTGGAAGGAATTCAGAACATTCCACTCTGCATGGGAGGAGGCTAAGCCACGTTACCTATTTATTTATCATCATGATAATTATTATAAGACAAACAAGAGACTACATAAGAAAAGTATAAAAGAATCTCCAAACTTCACTGAACATAAGCAAAAAGAAAAGACGGCCGAACAAAGAAGACGGGTTTTGAGTGGGCCTTGGGGAGAGAGCTTCCCCCCCACTGTCACCTCCATCCCCACCCCCAGTGTCCTGAAGAAAAGGCCCTGGATTAGGCAAGTAGAGAAAAGCAGAGACACATTTTCAAATACCACAAATAAATAAACAAACATGTTAATCAAGAAAATAACTCATTAGGCACCACTTGAAAGGCAGCAACCTTCAGGGGCCAGGCAGGCCGCACTCTTTAGCCTGCAGGCGGGCGGGCGGCAGCAACGCGGTCGGGATTGGCCAAGGCTCAGAAGGCGCCACGGAGGTCCTGGCCCCGGTGCCTGGTCTTCGACAGAAACCGGGGCAGGAACCGAGTCTGTTGTTGCTCTTACATCTGCACCTCCAGAAGCTTAGGTGAGGGAGAAATCCTAGTGTAGCGGCAGCAGCCTCGACTCCCAGGCGGCCCCGCAGAAAGTGCGCCCTGACTCGCCCGGCCTAAGGCAGACCAGCAGTGTCCTGGGAGTGCCCAGCACTTGGTCTTGGAAATCAAAAGCGCCGGTTGTGAGCCGGAAAACAGGGTGGTTTCCGTTACAATCCCTTCCCCGCCAAACCCTGGAATCTTCTAAAAAACTCCTGGTCCTCAGTTCCTTTTTGCTCCAAGTGGGGTTTAGATGGGGACTACAGAATGCCCGGGGTTCGAAGCGCGGGACCGATTTTACTAAGCACCTGGCTCCGCCCTGGGCGGAGAGGGAGTGGCGAAGGGGTTCGGGCAAGGGCACAACCCCACCTGAAAGAAGAAAAAGACCTACTGCCTAGTTCATTCTCCAGTCCTACTTCCCGTCAAACGGGGATGCGCAAACACAGAGCGGTGATTCTCTAGACTCCGCTAGGGGCGCCAGGCAGACTCTGGCTAGCGGAGGGGCGCGGCAGGGCGGGGCTGAGGGCGAGCTGGGGACTCATCCCGTGGGAAACCCGTGGCGGTAACTGTGGCTCAGCTCAAACAAAAATAACGGCTGGCCGGGCTGAGGGTCAGGCAGAGTTGGCGACGTTTATGAGTTCATGATCTGCACCTGCAGGACGGGGCGGAAGGAAAGATCCAAGTTACAGAGTGGGGAGCATAGAGGGGCGCAGAAGTGCAAGCGCAGTGTAGGAAGGAGCGAAAGTAGCAGACAGAGGAGAAAGGGGCCCTCAAGCCTTCCCAACTTATAAGCAAAGTGCCCAGTTCCAACTTTGTCGCGCGACTCTCCCAGGTCTCTCCACCCCACGCGCACACAGTGTCTTACTTAGCCCCACTTTGCCCCACCGCACCCAGACGCCGGGGATACTTTCACCTCTCGCACCCGGCCTCCCTTTCTCCTCCTCATCTTCCTCCTCCCGTGGCGCAGGGCCCTTGCGTGGCCAAGGCTCAGAGAGTCGTGATCCGAGACGTACAGGTGCCATTACGGAACACACCGCCTCCAGACTCCAGGTTCTCCGGCTGGAAGTCCTCCACGCTGTAAGCGCGACTCTTGAGGGCCGTGGCGTAGTAGTCGACAGGCTCCTCGGCGGCGTTGTCCATCCAGCTGAGGCACAGGATGCGCTGGAAAGAGCGCTTGAAGTTGTCCGAAAGGAAGCCATAGAGGATGGGATTGGCGCAGCTGTTGGCGTAGCCGAGGATGACCGACAGCTGGCTAACCGTGGCGTCGTCCTGCTCTGCAAACACGTTGACCAACTGCACTACATAAAAAGGCATCCAGCAGATGACAAATACCATCACCACCATCATCACCATCAGGGTGATCTTGCGCTCCGAGCGCTTGCGCTGCTGCCAGCCGGCCTTGAGGGCCACCATGCGCATTTTGGCGATGATGAGCACGTAGCACAGGCAGATGGCCCCGACGGGCAGCAAGAAGCCCATGAGAAACGTGTACAACACGAAGCCCACTAGCCAGCGCTGAGCGGGCTCAGGCATGAGCATGTTGCAGGCCACCGTGCCATCACTGTTGGCCGCCGTGCGCGAAAAGACCACGATGGGCAGAATGACAAGCAGCGATAGCACCCACACGCCCAGATTCACCACCTTGGCCACAGTGGGCCGGCGGTAGCGTGCTGCCTTGATGGGGTGCACCACGGCCACGTACCGATCCACGCTAAGGACAGTCAGACAGTAGATGCTGGTGAACATGTTGACTGCGTCCACGCTGAGCACGAGGCGGCAGAGCAGCGCGCCGAAGGGCCAGTGGCGAAGCAACGTGGAGGTGACCAGAAATGGCACACTGAGCATGAGCAGCTCATCGGCGATGGCCAGGTTCAGGATGTAGATGTTGGTGGCCGTCTTCATTTTGGCGTAGCGCAGGATCACGTAGATGACCATGGAGTTACCACACAGCCCCACCAGGCACACCACGGAGTAGATAAAAGAGATGAGGATGGCGCTGCCCTGGCCCTCGCTCAAGGTCCCGTTCTGGGACGCATTTCGCCCCGGCTCCTCCATGCCGCCCGCAGCGCCGGCCCCGGGGCCCCTGCTGCCGCCGCCTTCGCCGCAGCTGCCCGGGCTGGGGCTAGGAGAGGAAGGAGAGGAGGCAGTGCCATTGGGGAACATTTCAGCTAATGGGGGCTGCTGGGGCTGCTGGGGCTGGAGCGCTCTCCTTGCGCCCCCGCCGCTTGCGCTCTCACTCGGCACCCTGCCCGCCTGCCCGCAGCTCACTGCTGCCAGGCACCTGGGATAGCACGCAGAGGCTAAGGGGAGCTTGGCTCTGACCAGCGCCGGCGGGGAGCATTGCCTAGCGGCTGCTTGCGCGCACCCGCAAGCCCGCTCCCAGGCGCCTGGGCACACGCGAGCGTGGAGAGGGGAGACCGAGAGGCTGGAGCCCCGCGCCGCACAGCCATTAAGTGGCGCGGCTCTGGGCTGGTGAATGATTAATAGGCACCACCAGCGCGTCAGCAGCTACGAAAAGGGAGGGGTGATGGAGAAAAGAGGGAGGAAGGCGATGTAGGTGGTTTACCACCCCTCGCCCATTTTTTTTTTCCTTCCCAGTCCTGTGCTCAGATCAACTCGAGCAGCTGCTCCAGGGAGTCTCTTGCAATACCCTTTACCCATCCCTCAGCGGGGACTGGCGAGTTTCTCCTCCTGGAGGGGGGGTGGGAACCAAAAGTGTAGAATCTTTCCCACCCCGGCTCCTTTCCAATGAAGCAGACCCCAAGCACAGATGTCCAGAGTTCATCTCAGTTTCCCTGAGTTGCCGCCTGGTCCTGAGAGACCCCCCAACTCCATTCCCGTCCAATCGTCCGGGGCCCTAAACCCCTACCTCCCGCCCCCGCTAGCCCTACCCCTGAAGACCCGCCGCGGAAGCTCTCAGTCCCCCTTACCCAGGGCGCGCTACTCCCAGACCGACGCGGAGATGGCCCGTGCAAAGTGCCTGTGCGGTCTGGTAGCACGGTGACGTTCTTCGCGCGGTCCAACTCCTTTCTTTGGGCGGGACCCCAGCACAGGCGCCCACGCAGATACTCTTAGAGTCGCTGAAACTGACCCTGAGCGGTGTTAGGAGGAGGAAGCGCAAAAACCTTGCGTTAGGAGCTTCTGCGTTACAACACCGCAGGCTGCTCTTCGCAGGCGGGAGCGGTTTAGGGGCCTGAGTAAACCATTGCGAATCTCTTAATAAGGCTTGTGGTGCCCAGAGCCCCTTGCGTCTCCCAGACGAATATAGACTGCAGAAAGGAGGACGCGCGGCTGGGAGCTCGGAAGGAGCCTGAGGCTCCCTCCCGAACGTGCCAGGCGCGGTATTGGAAATCCATCTAGGTGTTCAGTGGGGAAAGATATGGCTGCGCCGCTTGGAAAGGCTCCGCCTGCGTCCCTGCTGTACTTTGTACCCAGGAGAGTTGGCGGGCCCCGGGGGAGGAGAGTGTAAAAGGCCTGGGAGGGCAAGGACGCCAGCTCCTCTAAACCCACGCGGGGTCCGCTGTGCAGGTGACCAGACCTGTCACCAACTCCACAAACTGGCCGGAAGACCTTCGAGTCTTTCTGTGAACAACTAGGATTTCAGCCTTTTTTGAGGCCCTGGACGTGTGACCCCGTTCTAATTCCGAAACTTTTAAGAGACAGAAATCGATGTAGGCATGCCTAAAGCGCCTTTGCCTCATTTAGGAATTGGATGGTTTCTGTGGAAGAGAATGAATGTTCAATTACCATGATCTTTACCTTTCGGACTTCCCAGCATCCCTAGCCTAGGCTCCTTTTGGCCTTTCACTTGTTGCAGTCCAAGGAAGAATCACTCCTTCCAGCTCTCCTATCCCTTTTCAAAATCCCATCAAGTCTTTCTCCGAAACGCACCTGTTCCCAGGAAGACTGACCTGCAGCAGGTCTTTCAAACTTTAGCTTTGTCTCCAGTTTCTTGTTAGTTTCTCCTTCCTCCCAACCACGGAGCAGTGGGTCTCAGTTTTCCCTCCCATCAGTACAGTTTACACTCAAGAGAGGCGACCTAAAACAGACTAACCTCCTCACTGAAGCTATTAGTACCAGACAGTTCAGAATGCAGAAATGGATGCAGAAACTGAAAGGAAAAAAAAAAAAGCATAATTCCTTTTGCCCCCTTCCTTTATCTGAGCAATCATTTGCATATATGTGTTTTAGTTCTCAAAACGAAATGCTCCTAAAAGGAAAGGAATAACTTCTGTAGTGTGTTGATTATAACAATCAAAGATAAATTATGGCAGACCCTCATAGGAAGGTGTGCAATGGACACCGAATTATTAATAAGAAATGAGCTAGGAAGGAATTTCAAATTTTACAAGGTCCAAGCTATTTAACCCATTGCTTTATTTAAACAAATTACTTTTTACCTTTTACGAAAACAGGATGTGGAATTGAGGGTTAGTTGTGTTTTATTTTCCTTAAAAAAATGCTGAACATATGGAGAAAAAAATAGTGTTCATCAAGTTTAAAAAAATGACTTTTTTCTCCCAGAAGAGCTTTTTACAAGCCAAGCCTCATAATGGTTTGGATGCCTCTTTGCCAATCACTGACTAAAGACACCTGGCTATTCTTTAGGGGGCTGACATTTCAACAGTCATCATTTAGATGCCTTGGCATTGATCATGGTTGCTCCAGGGGGAGAGGATGATGGGAGCCAGTAAAGCACAGCTCTGTTGTTCAGACTCTCATATGTTCACTTTGCCACTCGCCTTAGGGAAATCTCCTCCCAACTTAGTGGTAGTCTCATACAGGAAAGAAGAAAACCCAAGACCTGACATGAACATGTTTTTTGTTTCTGAAGTGGTTTCTATGATGAATTGTTTATCCATAAAACAAATGGACAAGGAAATATCACTTACACCCACTAGAATGGCTTTAGTAATTTTTTAAAGGGGAAAAAAAACCCCACAAATGTTGGCAAGCATGTGGAGACATTGGAACTCTCATATGATGCAACAGCTTTAGAATGTTTCATGATTCCTCAAAAAGTTAAACACAGAATTGCCGTATGACCAGCTATCCCGCCCCTAGGAATTTACCCCCCGAAATTGAAAATAGGTACTGAACAAAAACTGGTACAGTAGGTTCACAGTGACACTATTCATAATAGCCACAAAGTCAAACCCGAATATCCATTAACTGATGAATGGATATACAAAGTGTGGTATATCCTCGCAATAGATTATTCATCCATAGGAAGGAATGAAGTACCAATACATGAGCCCTGAAAACATTAGGCAAAGTGAGGGAAGCAAAACAGAAAAAGTCATGCATTGCATGATTCCATTTATCTGGGATGTCTGGAACAGGCAAATCCATAGAGACAAAACGGGTTAGAGGCTGGCAGGGGTTGAGGGGAGAAGGAATGGGGAATGACCGCTTAATGGGTATGGGGTTTCTTTTTTGGGTTATGGAAATGTTCTGGAGTTAGATCGTGGTGGTGATTGTACAACATTGTGAATGTACTAAAAGCCACTGAATTGCACATTTTAAAAATGGTTAAAATTATGATTTTTATGTCATGTGAATTTTACTTCAATAAAAGGAGAGTGATTGAGATGGGTATGAGCCATGCGGTGTTATCAAGTCTTTTCAGTCACTTAATCCTTAACATTATATCTGTGAACTGATCCATGATAAATAAAAACAATCAAGCAAAAGACAGCATTTCTGGGCTAAACAACATGAGACGGGGTTGCAGCTGTTTTTAAATTATGTTAGGAACAGGAGCCCACTTAGGAATCTGCCTTCCTCTCAGACCTTAATTTAATGTCTCTTAATGAAACAGGAACACTAATGTAGGCATTGGGATTGTTGTAATGTGTAAGGAACATGGCCTTTGAGAAGTCAGGACTCCATAATCTTCATGTCTTGTTTAAAAACTTTTTAGGGGTTTTGGGCACCTGGGGGCTCAGTCGGTTAAGCGACTTACTCTTGATTTTGGCTCAGATCATGATCCCAGATCCAGGAGATCAAACCCCGTATCAGACTCTGTACTAATAGCTTGGAGCCTGCTTGGGATTCTCTCTCTCCCTCTCTCTCTGCCCCTACCCCAATCTCTCCCTCTCTTTCGCTCTCTCTCTCTCAAAATAAGTAAGTAGATAAACTTTAAAAAGCCCCTTTTTTAATTCACATATTTAAAGCCTGGAAAAGCTTAAGATAAGCTTGTTTCATCTGTGAGAGTTAATTCCTGCAGTCCTCCCTCCTTTGGTTACTATCTTTCCTATGCTTCTGAGATATGAACATTTCTAGATATGAGAGAAGAAAGATGATGGCCCACAAGAAGGGAAGAATGAAAAGTCCTAATTTAGGAAGTTGAAGATTCTTAGGTGAACTGATTTTCTTAGCCATCTCAATTCTTCTACAAGCCACACTCCCTTGTGCTCTCATGTCCCAGATGCACACTTGGATTCCTGTATTTATCACACTGTGCTGTGATTTCTTGGTGTACTTATCTGTCCTCCTTTCTAAATCTGTAAGCTTGCTGAGAACAGGGGCTGTATTTTACTTATCTTTATATGCCCAGCACCCAACACAGTACCTGGAAAATTGCCCAACACCTCCTTGTTTTATTTTTCTAAGGTACCCCATAGATAATATCTTCTTTTTGTTCTAACCCACAAGATGTAGATACAAAGAAACGAACTCTTGGCCTCTTGCAAGAGAAGTTTTAATCTCTGTGTAATATCATCTATAATAATTTCTTATACATTTAAATCATTCTGAACAATTTCAATTTGCATGTCCTATATCAACAATTATGCTGATGACTCCTTCATTGATCATTCTTGGTCTTAAATGTCTTGGCAGAGAAAGGGCTCTGGAAAGTGGGTGGCACATACTTTAGTAGCTAATGATGGTTATTTAATAGTATCATGCAGTGTGAAAGCCATTATACGTGGAAGATTGTTTCTTTTTAATTGCAGTCCCGAGTCTCAGTTGGTTTGGTGGAATAGTAATTATCAGGAGTTCAAACTCTGCTTCTGTCAAAATCATTATTAATGTGGTTTTTCTACCTGGAGCCTGTGGTGGTCCTCAAACGAGCTCCTCTAATCCGTGCCGGTGGTAAAGTGTCAGTTGGGGCCAGGGATTGAAGGGAACACTTTGTGGAGCGTCCTCTGCAGTGGCATCACCACAGTTGTGTTTACAAACACCTGTGTGGGCAGATGGGACCTACCTAGCTCTGAGGGGCAAGTGCTACTCAGCAATATGGCCCACAGCAGAGGGATGTGTCACCTGAAGACCATCTGCCACCAAGCAGTTAACAGGATGACAGTCTGATAAGAAGGTCAACCAGAGTGCAAAGTGGCCATGGGGCTAAGGAACAATCCCAGACCTCATTTTGCAGGGATGCCTCCCTGGCCTCACAGCAGCCCTGGTAGCCTGTGGTTCAGTCCATCGCCAATCTCGGCAAACTCGCCCTGGCCTGCTGGTTTTCCTATTGCCTCTTCTGTGAAACAGCAATGACCGAGTCACCTTTGTGCTTTCAAACAAGACGCACAGGGCAACAACTCACATTTTCACCTAAGGATTCTCTACTACTACATACTACTTCTAAGAACAAGAATTCAGCACCTACAGGAAAATATTCGTTATCATCAATGGATAAATAAAAATAGAACAAAAGCAGCTGCATGTTACTCATCTTATTTTGATTAGTCCTTAACAAAAATACATGTTTCTATAGTGTGGTGTCTGTTAAGGTTTTCCAGACCAATTTAATTTCAAGCAATTTTATCAAAACATCTTTTGATGTTACTCATTTTACTAGAAACTACAAAACTGCTTTCAAAGTCACAAAACCATACTTTTGTTTCTTTTCTTGATGTTTGATTTTAGGCAGAGCATTTTTTTTTATTTTTTACTTTCTATAATTTACATCCAAGTTAGTTAGCATCTAGTGCAACAACAATTTCAGGAGTAGATTCCTTAAGTCCCTTACCCACTTAGCCCATCCCCCCTCCCTCAACCCCTCCAGCAACCCCTGTTTGTTCTCTATATTTAAGAGCCTCTTATGTTTTGTCCCCCTCCCTGTTTTTATATTATTTTTTTAAGCAGAGCATTTAAACAGTCACAGCAAATCACCCATTTCTTGAGACAGGGCTACTCCTTAGGAGTGGGCTGTATGTGCCAATCGGTTTCACTAGCTAAGGAACAGCCCAAAACCAGCAAAAAGCTGGCTGTGGGAAGCAAGGAGAGCTTTGTAGAGGAAACCTATGAAGCTATCTTTTTTTAAGATCTAAAAAGTAGATCTCTCTTTATTCAGAGAGAGAGAGAGAGAGAGAGAGAGACAGAGAGAGCATGAGCAGGGGAAGGACAGAGAGAGAGGGTGAGAGAGAATCCCAAGCAGGTTCCACCCTGTCAGCGCAAAGCCTGACCTGGGGCTCAACACATGAACCATGAGATCATGATCTGAGTTGAAATCAAGAATTGGAAGCTTAGCCGACTGAGCCACCCAGGTGCCCCTAAAATGTTTTGTTCTTAATCAAAAACAAAAAGGTATGTGATTAGAGAGCGATTTAAATCTATGTGGTTATCATAATGCCTGCCATCATGATACTGCCATTTTGTTCCCATTTTAAGTATGTTGAGGCAGGAGACTAGGCCCATGCTCTGTCAACCAAAATAGTGCTTTATTTAGATGACACAAAGCGACCTCTGTGACTGACCTTTTCTTCTTTTGCACACGTGTGGTGGAACTGCCAATAGTGGGTTTGTGGTGAATGCATCTGTGTCTTCGGCGGGAGGTAGAAGACAGCATCTGTGAGCTATGGGCTCAGGAGGGAGGCTCAGAACCACTGGGATTGGCTCAGGAAGAGAATGACTAGATGGCCTTTTCCCTTCCTCTTCCTGAGGGCAAGCTGTCTCCCCAACACCAGGCCCTGCCTTTGCTCTTCTTTCTCCATGCAACATGGGATGGGAATTTATTTTGTCCTTGAGGAAGCAGCAGCCTGTGTGACAGTCTGACTCTTCTTTCCCTGTCAGAGCAGGGAGGTCGGAAGATAGCACAGTCCAGGTAGGGCCACCTGGCCTAGAATAAGAAGTTACCATTCCTTGTGGACTGCCTGGGTGAACTGAAATTTTAC